CTCAATCCCTCTGTTACCGTGTGTCACTATACCCCACCCCCAACATGTAAACTCACTGAGCAGGGCCCTCAATCCCTGTTACCGTGTCACTCATACCCCACCTCTAACATGTAAGCCTCACTGAGCAGGCCCTCAATCCCCCAAGCCACTGTGTCACTCATACCCTGCACCCTCTAACATGTAAACCTCACCGAGCTGGCCCTAATCCCTCTGTTACCGTGTGTCACTATATACCCCACTCCTCTTAACATGTAAACTCACTGAGCAGGCCCTCAATCCCTCTTTTACTGTGTCACTATACCCCACTCCCTCTAACATGTAAACTCACTGAGCAGGCCCTCAATCCCTCTGTTACTGTGTCACTATACCCCACTCCCTCTAACATGTAAACTCACCGAGCAGGCCCTCAATCCCTCTGTTACTGTGTCACTATACCCCACTCCCTCTAACATGTAAACTCACTGAGCTGGCCCTCAATCCCTCTGTTACTGTGTCACTATACCCCACTCCCTCTAACATGTAAACTCACTGAGCAGGCCCTCAATCCCTCTGTTACTGTGTCACTATACCCCACTCCCTCTAACATGTAAGCTCACTGAGCAGGCCCCCGCTCCCTCTAACATGTAAACTCACTGAGCAGGGCCCTCAATCCCTCTGTTACTGTGTCACTATACCCCACTCCCTCTAACATGCAAGCTCACTGAGCAGGGCCCTCAATCCCCTCTAACATGTAACCTCACTGAGCAGGCCCTCAATCCCTCTGTTACTGTGTCACTATACCCCACTCCCTCTAACATGTAAACTCACTGAGCAGGGCCCTCAATCCCTCTGTTACTGTGTCACTATACCCCACTCCCTCTAACATGTAAACTCACTGAGCAGGCCCTCAATCCCTCTGTTACTGTGTCACTATACCCCACTCCCTCTAACATGTAAACTCACTGAGCAAGGCCCTCAATCCCTCTGTTACTGTGTCACTATACCCCACTCCCTCTAACATGTAAACTCGCTGAGCAGGCCCTCAATCCCTCTGTTACTATCACTATACCCCACTCCCTCTAACATGTAACCTCACTGAGCATGACCCTCAATCCCTCTGTTACTGTGTCACTATACCCCACTCCCTCTAACATGTAAACTCACTGAGCAGGCCCTCAATCCCTCTGTTACTGTGTCACTATACCCCACTCCCTCTAACATGTAAACTCACTGAGCAGGGCCCTCAATCCCTCTGTTACTGTGTCACTATACCCCACTCCCTCTAACATGTAAGCTCACTGAGCAGGCCCTCAATCCCTCTGTTACTGTGTCACTATACCCCACTCCCTCTAACATGTAACCTCACTGAGCAGGCCTCAATCCCTCTGTTACTGTGTCACTATACCCCACTCCCTCTAACATGTAAACTCACTGAGCAGGCCCTCAATCCCTCTGTTACTGTGTCACTATACCCCACTCCCTCTAACATGTAAACTCACTGAGCAGGCCCTCAATCCCTCTGTTACTGTCACTATACCCCACTCCCTCTAACATGTAAACTCACTGAGCAGCCCCTCAATCCCTCTGTTACTGTCACTATACCCCACTCCCTCTAACATGTAAACTCACTGAGCAGGCCCTCAATCCCTCTGTTACTGTGTCACTATACCCCACTCCCTCTAACATGTAAACTCACTGAGCAGGCCCTCAATCCCTCTGTTACTGTGTCACTATACCCCACTCCCTCTAACATGTAAACTCACTGAGCAGGCCCTCAATCCCTCTGTTACTGTGTCACTATACCCCACTCCCTCTAGCATGTAAGCTCACTGAGCAGGACCCTCAATCCCTCTGTTACTGTGTGTACAACTTGTCGGGCTAGAAATATGTGTTTGTTAGTCCACCCATTGTACATTGCTATGGAATTTGTTGGCACTTTAGAAATAATAATAATAATGATGATAATAATAATAACAGAGCTTGAATAACCTGTATGAGTCCACAATATAAAGAATTTAAATAAAAACCAAATAAAACCCCAAAAACTGATTTTGAAATAGAACTGCCATAAAGAGAGACAATGAGATATAATAATTGATGAATTAACAAACACACAGATTAATGGTAAAGTAAGAATGGTCTGGTATGCCTATTGCAACACCCAGAAATGAGGGAGTCTGACTTATAGTGGAATGTCTCAAACTGGATGTGGGCAGAAGTTTCACCAAATACTCTGCCTGAAACTGAAGTGGTTTGGTATGCTCCTAAGATTAGGTGCGATGGGGTCCAGGAGTCAGTCCACTTAAAAAGGCTTCTCTATGTCCAGATAATTAGGAGAAATACACAGCAATGGTATATATGGGGTGTATGACTTTAAATCTGCTAGAGGCAGAGTCAAATTGTTACACACCAAAATACTCTACTTGTAACTCAAAGATTTTCTACAGTTTCCATCTTTGAGTTACAAGTAGAGTATTTTGGTGTGTAACAATTTGACTCTGCCTCTAGCAGATTTAAAGTCATACACCCCATATATACCATTGCTGTGTATTTCTCCTAATTATCTGGACATAGAGAAGCCTTTTTAAGTGGACTGACTCCTGGACCCCATCGCACCTAATCTTAGGAGCATACCAAACCACACAGATTAATGGAAATAAAGTGACAGAGTGAATTAGTCAAACATTGCTCTTCCTTTTTTTTCCCAATCCTTTCATTATTGCACAATTAATCATCTCTTGGGAAATCTCGAATAGAGGTGAGAAGAACAATAATTCCTGTACGATGCCAGCCAACGCCCAAATGAAACCAACATGACTTTTGATCTGTCATTTACTGAATAAAAGAATATAAAATTGATCAGAATGGTGATGTGTATTTAAATTAGTCTGGGATCTCCCTCTTCCCTCAGACATTATAAGTACCTTCAAAATTCCCAATGGATTCAGAGGAAACACTTAGTCTGGTTGTGATCGCAAAACATAAGATCATAATGATCTCCAATTTTTTATCCAGAGTACACGTGCTTCTGCTGCTCTTCTCCTTACTCTCATCAGGTGAGTGGATGTTAGTGGATGGGGGGGTTAGTGGATGGGGGCGTTATGCATGAATATATTGCAAAGGGCTAAAGGTCAAATGAATATATTTCCTTAATGGTTCCTAATGGTTTCTTTAAATGTCTAATCAGACTCGTCTTCTGGAGAAGACATTATTCCAACATGTTCTAAGGGAATCTGACTTCTATTGCTTTATAAAAGTTTTTAAAAAAAAAGTTATTTATTTATTTACTTATTTTTGTATTTCTTATTTATTTTTGTATTCCTTTATTTATTTCCTGTGGCTCTAATTGGAGTTACCCATTAAGCTAGCTACTGGGAAGCCACGTTGGCATCACCTTCAGCATCTGCCTAAAGAAATGTTTTCAGAGATTCAGGAACAAAATGCAAATAATCTACGTTAATGTATACTATGAATTATTTTATGTAATCTGGGATGATCAGACATGAATAACATTATCCACAGATTAAAGCATAACTTTCTCATGTTAAGCATAAAGACAGTGAGAGAAACAGATAGAGAGAGAGAGACAGAGAGACAGAGAGAGAACAACTGAGGGAGGGGAACAAAAAGACAGGGACAGAGACAGAAACAGAGAGCGTGAGGGACAAATAGAGACAGAGAACAGAGAGAGTGTAGCCCCGTGAAGCGAGCACAGTTTAGTGAAGGGAGCTTGGATGCGGAATAGGTAGATATATACTAGGATTGTTGGGTTGGGTATATATCTATATATATATAGGCAGCCATTATAGCACCAGTTAATTTTAATTACTTACCAGTCTGGCTTTGTCCCTCCCTCCGTCCCTGGTTAGTCTGTGTCTATCATCTTTGGGCCCCTGTGGTCAAAGTGGCGGGGCTGGGAAAGTGAAGGTAAAGGGGGATAGGGTCTTTTAATTAAGAAAATGAGCAGGGCTAGTTAGGGCAGTTGGTTAAACATGGAGGTATGCTGAGAAACCCAAAGGGGTAGGAGTATTTGTGTATGTTAAGAAAATGTTTTTGCATTTTATTTGTTGTTTTTGTTCGGTTATATTGGTAATGGTATTGTTTATGTACGTGGGTTATTGGCTGGGGTGGGGTCCATGGCTTGTCGGTATGTAAGTTATATTAAATATATATAATGGCCATTGGAGTAACTAAATGACCTCCATTTGTCTAAATATACATAGGGATTAAGAAAAGCGTGCAGGTAACTTTTTTCTTTGGTTTTTGCTACATATTATATATATATATATTTATTAAAGCTGTGGACAAATGTTCCCATTTATATATTTGTAGTGTCAGTGTATTATATGGGGGGTTGTGTTGGTAAGTTTTTTATATCAATCTGCACCTACATTCTAATGCAGTCATTCAAAACCACAACTCACAAACACAATAAGAAATTAGAGAGATGGAACCAGAATTATTAGTGGTTATGGTGCTTAGAGTACCAGATTAATATAACACAATATTTCAGGTTAAATCGAATAATGATAGTATTTGCAGTTCTAACTTTACCAATGTACCTTTAACTCTTACAGTATTTGCAGCTCCGACCACCATGCCACCTGTGACTACAGCATCACTGGCAACTGCTGCTGAATCAACCACAGCAACGTCAACTACCACTACACATGGCACTAGCATAGCTACGTCCAGTGACATGATAACTCTAAGCAGCACAGTTACCTCTGGTACCACTGCCAACACCACTCTGCCAAGCACCAGTGCGGCAACTAGCACCACACAAGAATCTATCACCACACAATCATCGAGTATCACACCATCTTCTAGCACCACACAATCATCGAGTATCACATCATCATCTAGCACCACACAATCATCGAGTATCACATCATCATCTAGCACCACACAATCATTAAGCAACACACCATCTTCTAGCACCACACAATCATTGAGTAGCACACCATCATCAAGCACCACACAAACTCCATTGAGTGACATGATAACTTTGAGCAGCACAGTTGCCTCTGGTACCACTGCCAACACCGCTCAACCAAGCACCACACAAGAATCTAGCAGCTCAGAATCATCTAGAACCACACCATCAACGAGTAGCACAAAATCATCTAGAACCACACGAGAATCTAGCAGCACAGACTCATTGAGTAGCACAGAATTATCTAGCAGTACAACTCCACCTAGCCCCACACAAGAGTCTAGCAGCTCAGATTCATCTAGCACTGCACAAGAATCTAGAACCACACAAGAATCTAGAACCACACAAGAATCTAGCAGTAGAGCTCCATCTAGCACCACACACGGATCCAGCAGCACAGCTTTATCTATTACATCGCATGCATCTTCGAGTACACCAATTAGTGCATCTTCATTGACTAAAGAAGTTGGAACAAATACATCAACGAAGAACCCTGAAACAACCTCAAAGTCTACAACACCCACAGCTAAAAGTATGTATTTTATTATCAGCCACTTGCACACAATACCTTCAAAAAAAGACACCCCCATGTATATTCATTGACTATATTCTATCACAGAATCCACTTACTGTCCTTGTATCTGGTCCTGCTCTTCTGCGAGGGACTAACATATTCCCCTTACAAACTGGTTTGTAAAAGATTTAAAAGTGATAGTGGAAGATGGGAACATTAGCTGAGTTTAAGGACTATTTTTAGCTAGGTTTGTCATAAAATGACCCTGGCCAATCCCAACATCCTTAAAAGTGGAAACAAGGTGGGGTTCTGCCTGCATTTTACTCACTAAGGGAGGATGTTGACGTTGCAAAAGGCCATTTCTCATTTTACTCAAAGTAGAAATATTATCTCGTTACACCAGGTGAGGCTGTTTTAGCCGAACATTTGTAATTCTCTTGTCAAATCTTCTAAATCCATAGTGAATACATGTGATATAAGACGTAAAATGCTCTGCACATGTACTCACGGTAAATATCACATTAGACAGCGTTATTCACTAAAGTGATAATTCAAAGTGAATAAAACACAACATTGACTTGAGTAATTTTTCTAAACTGCCTATTTTGAACTACATTTTTAAATTCCCGTCAAATTCCCAGAAATTCTCACATTAGTGAGGCTGAACTTGTCTGATGTGGGCTATGTATGAACAGTATTTCTCTTTGAAATGTTGCACATACAGGAAGTAACCTGTTAGCTGCTGGAGGGTTAACCTCCAGCATTATCCTTAGCCAGCCCATAAAGGTTCGAGCTGACTAATGTCAATACTGTAATAAATGCACACTGTGCAGCACTGACCAAGGAAACACCTCTAGTGATCATCCGAGGAGTGTCCACTAGAGGTATTCCAAGGCTGTAATGTAAACACTGCATTTTCTCTAAAAGGCTGTGTTTACTGCAAATAGGAACTAAAGAAACTGACTATACTCACCAGAACACATACATTAGGCTGCATATCGTACATTAAGCTGTAGTTGTTCTGGTGACTATAGTTCCCCTTTAAAACAAAAAAAACACGGGATGCTTAGCAAACAAGCTATGAAAAAACTGCAGTTTTGTATACAGACTGCTCGAGTAGTACAGTTTCATGGAGCTACACAAGCTCAGGTGGAGGACTTGCAGCCAGAGATTCCCTTTCAGTTATGGGCAATTAGAAGTAAACATTCCGAGTAAAAGTAATTAAATAACACCAATCGGCTCCACCATACTACTAGTCTTGTATTATGTTCTATCATTGTTACCATATCTTGCTCTGTGTTTCTAATCTTTGCAGGTGACGGAGTACCAAGCTATGCTATTGCTCTTCTGGTCTTGGTGGCTGTGATCTTAGCCATTTTGTTGACATTTCCTTGCGTATTTGTAAGTAAACACACATTTCCTAAATAAGGATATTTGAAGAATCCTTAGGATAGCTCAGTGGATAGAATGCTAATTTCAATTCAGAGTCCTGATCCAGTCTGGTTAGGGTTATGACAAGGTTTAGCATTTCTTTAATTGGACAGCATTGGGCCGTACATTTCCTGGTCTGTCCAAGATTGATTGGAATTACTGTCCAGCAAATCAGTTGCTGTTGTTAACTCATCTTCTCTCCCAGTAATGGTATAATGCCGGGGAGACAGAAACATACTCCTTTCTTATCATATCGTGGTCAGGAGACGGTCAAAATAAAATGGCTGAAGTTGCCTCTTTGGAGTATATTTTCCCACTATTTTCAGAAACGTACATGCTTTGGTGCTGGCCTGAAATTAGGGTTCTCCACACTACAATGTGTCAGAAAAAAAAGGGCGGGCAGCCTTCGGCACTCCAGATGTTGTAGAATGCATCTGTCATGAGGCTTTGCCACATTATGGCTATACACGCATTATGGGTGATGTAGTTCACAACATTGGGAGTGCCAAAGGCTGCCTACCCCTGAGTTAGGGCAAAGATTGAGAATTCCTTATGGAAAATTTACAGGATATGAAAACATGATCTTCCAATTTAAACAATGAGCAGATCGTATGTATTGTATTGATGCATGTTGGTATTTCTTTAACCAATGCTGGCACCAGCACAGGCTCACTTTAAAAATCCTAAACTTTTCTATTGGGTTTGAATAAATACATTAGAGCTTGAAAGCAATTCTTTGGCAACTTTCCAAAAGCGGAGTAATCACCATGGAAACCATTGAAAGTTTCACCACTTTTAGAGCGCTGATGCCAATTTTGAAATAACCTACCTATAAAGGGGGGAGGGTATTCATATAATGAAAATAATAATAATAATAATAATAATAATAATAATAATAATAATAATATAATGCTTTTATCTCTTTGTAAATCATATTTTTCTTTTTTCTTTTGTTTAGTATTATTTGAGATGAACAACAAGATGCTGAAGTCAATTCTATTCAAATCACACTCACACAAGGCGTGACTTATATATTATTTGCTGTATGAGAAATAATAGGAAATGTTTCAAATGTTCATTCAAAACAGTGCTGGCATTTGTTTTGTGAAATAATATATTCTACTGAGTCTTTCAATACATTCTTTTTCTATTTTATCTTCTTGGCTGCTCTTCTTATAAGCAATCGAAGGCAATATTGAAATGTTAAAGGGAAACTCCAGTGCCAGGAGAACAATCCTGGAGTGTCCCTTTAATTAGGTTTCCGAGTATAAATTATTCTCCTATTTTCTCAATGTGGTGCGCGTAATATTAGCACTGAGTACTAAATAGTGACAACATAGGGGACAGTACATTACATTATGGTAATGATATAAATAAGGGCATAACGTGAAAACTCGATAGAATTCAACAATACGTTGTAGATGTCATTTTACTTTGGGAAAAAAACTATACAAACTGTAAAAAAATCTTTCAAACTTTTTAGATATAATGTGAATCATTAGGAATTCACAAGGATTTTTAAAAGAATGTTTTAGGTCCAATTGAACAGTCTAACTCGTACATCTTGGCCCTAAATGATCATTTCCTTTATATTTTATTAATTTATTCTATTCTGCAAGAGAACTTGTTAAAAAATAATGTTTGTCTAAATAAAAACCTTCCTAAAAATGATTTTGTTTCAGAACGTTCTCATGTAGTTGAATGTTTACCAATTTTATTATGTTGCCTTCCCACTATTTGGGGAGCTGTTTTTTGTTCGATCTTCTTGATAACAAATGGACAATATTTTATTATTAAATTATAAACAGGAAACCAATTGTTAGCACAATCAAATTGGAAATCTTGTAATTATATTTATATTTGTAATTAAAGAGACGATGATGCTTAAAGCAACAAACAAAACAAACAATTTAATAGAAATACCCCACAGATAACAGACATGTCATTAGTTTTCCTTTGAGGGTATCTGCAGATACAGGTTTTCTCTGGCTGTCCAATCACAGACATCTTTCACTGAAATAATCACTTTTCACACATAAAGCAAATCACAAAAAAAACTAATTGCTTTAGGTTCTGGAGGGCTCCTTTAAGTACAACTAAACTCCCATATAATGTTATTATTAGAACTGAACTTACGCATTGCCAAATAGTTTCATTAGCAAAATTCATCCTTAAAGGAACACTTTAGTTTGCTGGAGTGCCTTACGTGTCTGAAGTTTGTCTTTTTTTTAAACAGTTTATAAAATCCTGACTTCAGTAGAAATGAACACTTGTATAAACCTTAACAGAAACACATCCTCAGCTATCAATTAGACCAGGGGTACCACAAAGTAGATCCCCAGATGTTGTAGAACTACAATTCCCATGATGCTTTGTATGCCTTTAGAATGACACAGCATCATGAAAGCTGTAGCTTTAAGACATCTGGGGATCTACCTTTTGGACACCCCTAGATTACACAGGAGGTTTTCATTATCTTCAGTTATTCCCACAAAAATAGTGAAGAAAGAAATCCAATGGAGTGCTCCTTAAATAGGCACATGGGTGGAAAGGCAACAATTGCTGGGCGAATGGCTATTAGCATACATGTGGACTCCATCACAACGCCGTAGCACACATCCACGCACCACTGTAGCATCGATCTCTGCATGGGATGCATTGTTCCAGGCTCAGAAGAGCACAGCCATAAATTGAGTCCTATAGAGGCACTGCCTGTGGTCTCTCCGTGGCTCTCTTTAAAGCAGTGGGAGCAGCGGAGTTACCAGGCTATCTCAATTTATATCAAGCAGCTCAGTGAAATATACCATTTGTAAACTTGCAGCAGACTTACGGCCTGCCCTCCAAATTCACATTTTTATACTTGCAAATTAAAAGTGCATACAAAACACGGGAGACAACGGGACTCAATAACTTAATAGTCACAAGCTGGGACAAACCCTTAAAACCTAAACTCCTATCTCTTTGCTACACATCGCATTTTGACAGCCCTGGCATAACTCAACCTACATTTATAGCTCAATGGGAAAAGGAGACTGGAGATAGGATTTTGATGGACACATGGAATAGGAGGCTGAACGCCCTCAAAGGCATCATTAATTGTTTCTCCCACCTAGAGGCCCATAGAAAACTGATATACCGTCGGTATTTAACCCCAGGTAGGCACAGTCACATATATGTAAATGTGCCGGGAACTTGTTGGAGGTTTGGAAGGGACAAGGGCACCATGCTCCACATCTGGTGGCAGTGTAACAAAATCAGGCCACCATGGGAGATGGTGCATAATTTAACTAAAGAACTAGGAACTGAGCCACCCTTAACTTACGGGGCGTTTCTCTGGCTGGAGCTCCCTACCCAATTCACCTATTACAATAGAGCATTGCTGTCCCATGTTGCGTTAGCAGCCAGAGCTTATAGCCTTAAATTGGAAATCAGTGGTGTGCCCAACTAAGCAAATGCTGATTGATAAGATACAACTCAATTTTACA